ATAGGAATATTGAAATATAATTTCTTTCCCTATTCATTTGTTGTGTCTCCCAAAATGCGTAATAAACATGCTTTTAGTCCCGGTGTCCTCATATGAGGACATGTATGAAATCAACATCCTGTTTCGTAACAGAAAGTCATATTTTGATTTGAAACCCCATAACATTTTCCTGAGATGTTGATTTATGACACAGCTTAAAAATTAGTCAGATTTAAATAATTACAAAAATATTATCATATTTCCATAAGAGTGTCACTAAATTAATATCAGACATTTTTGAAGACCAAGGAGAGGGAGTGGTCATGGTGAAACATCCAAACATTTAGTATCTCTGAAAAGCCCTGAATGTGCTCTGTACAGGACATCCAGACTTAAAACTGTGGCATGTATAGTCTCAGAGAAATTCACCAAAATATAATGTCCTCATATGTGGATGCAGGTTCTCAGGAGGTTAAAGTCTGTGAGCAGCACTAGTGAAAATGCTGCAATTGTGCATTTTTCTCATTGAATATAAGTTGTTTTCATTATACATTACATTTTCAGCATAATAATTTGAGCAAAAATCTTTTTCAAAGTCCTTCATTTATTTCAGGTTTAAAATAAATATTCTAGTTCTAGCTTAGTCAGAGTAAAATTTAACTGGACTAATTCTTTTATTCATTAATAAATGTTTAATTAATAATTACAATTCCAGTGAGGAACTTATAAAACAATACTACCATTCATCATTCATTTAAAATCTGTATCTGATCATTTTGCAGTATTTGAGAATTTATCACATCTGGTCTTTTCTCAGATTTAGAAAAGAAACATTAGAGAAGATTTTAATACAAAATTATATATATTTGTATTGTTTTAAAGATGTTTACATATTACTATAAAGTGAGAGAAAGAGAGAGAGAGATAAAAGGGAAAATTATTTGATTTAGGCCTCACATTCTGTATATTCAGATTCATTCAGATACATTCTGCATCTGAACAATAAGAAAAACAAAGCATTTGTTCATAGCATGTGTAAACAAAAAGATAATATAATGTTGATATATAATAAGGCCTCATCAAAGAAGAATGAGCAAACAAGTAATTGACTTTCAGGTTTAACATGAGCTCAGTTTTGCAAAGTTCCATGTTGTGTTGTGTGTGAAAATGGGCGGTAATGGAAAAAGAGAGCATATTTAAATCACCTTAAATATCTCACTGAAACTACATTTCATCAGTCCAACAGAAAACAAAAACGACTAACCATGTCTATAACTCTGTCTTCTCAGAGTGAGATGTCCCGTAACAGAGTTGAACCTGCAGCAAATGAAGAGAATGATACAAAAGTCATACTCCAGTCAGGTTTGCCGGGCTTTTTTAAAATTCTTATATATATATATATATATATATATATTCAGATAATTTTGATGCCATTGAGACTAACCTCTTATCAGATGGTGATCAATCCAGGAGCGCTGGGTTCTGTGGATATCTCCTTACCTTCTTCTCCTACCTCGTTGTCTATCTTACTTTTCCTGTCTCGGTCTGGTTTTGTATGAAGGTAAGATAATAATTATCTAATGTAAAACCTACTTTAAAAAAAAACTTTAAATTTGTTTTTATTATTATTATTATTATTATTATCAGAGAATAAAATCTGACATATACATTAAGATCATCACATTAAGTGAACATTAAGTAATCATCACTTATTATTTCATTATTTTTATTTCTATATCAATCCCTAATCTATATTTCTTTTTGTCAATAGATTGTCCAGGAATATGAAAGAGCAGTTATTTTCCGTTTGGGACGACTACTAGGCGGTGCAAAAGGACCTGGTTAGTAATTACTATTCTTAAAATCATGTATAATTTGTTAAAAATGGTTTGCTTAGTTCAATTGTAACTAGCAGCTCTTTTTATTGATTGTTTTTAAAGGTTTGTTCTGGATTATTCCATGTGTGGACACATTTCGGAAGGTTGATTTAAGGACAGTATCTTTTGACATGCCTCCACAAGAGGTGAGTGATTAATTTGAAAATGTTTAAATCTTGTTATTTTTTTCTTGTTTCAGTTCTTGTTTTTTTTTTCTCCAATGAGTAACAAGTTTAATATCATATTGTGTTATAATGTAACATGTATCGCATTTTCTCCTCAGGTGCTGACCAAAGACTCAGTGACTATCATGGTGGATGCGGTGGTCTACTATCACATCTTTAACCCCACTGTCTCCATTACCAAAGTGGAGAATGCTAATCATGCCACACAGATGCTTGCACAGACTACATTACGAAACATGCTCGGAACTAAGAGCCTGGCAGACATCTTAAAAGACCGTGAGGAGATGTCCGAACAGATGGAGGTAAGATAATCCTTCCTGAAAACAACTCTAAATCGTTAGTTGTTTAATACTCCTAAAAAGAAAGGTTCTTTATTGGCATGTCAAGTCAAGTCAAGTCAAGTCTGCTTTATTGTCAATTCTTCCACATGTACAGCACATACACACAGAGAATTGAAATTGCGTTATTCTCAGACCCTTGGTGCATACAGATAACACTAACAGTAGAACATAAATACAGATATACAGATTAAATATAAAATACAACTATACAAATATACAAATAAGGTAAAATGTAAAAAAAAAAAAAAAATATATATATACTCTCGTACAGCTGGAACAATAGCACTTTACAGGAACACACATAAAGTAGCCTACATTTCACGTTATTTACACTTGCCTACGATATTTAGGTTTGAATGTCCTCTGGCATGTTTTGTTACAATTAAAGGACGCTTTCTGCGCGGAATTAACCGCGCCTGGAGCGTAAACAGTGGATCGTGCAGATCGCACGGCACATGTCCAATGAGAGCAGCGCTTTCGGCTGTGGGCGTGTATTCCAGCTGTCAATCACGTTGCTGCGTAAACCTTTTCAGTCCTTTTAACCTCTTGAGACCCGGCAAAACATTTTAGGAAGATGTTTTTTTTCATGTCATTACATTGTTTAGAGCATTAAAAAAAAAGAAAAAAAAAAAAGATATTTACTTCATAAGTTATGCTACGTCCTTCGTAGAGGACATCGGGACTCAAATAAAAAGACATGAATGAACATGCATAGGCAAAAACAATTGATTTTTTAAAATCACCAATACATTTTTAGTTTTCAGGATTTTACCAAACTTTGTATAAAGATGATTCTCAACTATGTTATAACAATGATTTGATATACCATTTTTCTTTATGCAAAATGTGTGTAAAATGGCCATAAAGGGGTTCTCTCATTATATACAATGTATCTATAAACTAAATCTAATTTGCATATTAATGTGTTTTTGGGGCAACATGTAATGGTGTTGCTGCCGACCCGAACTGCTGTTGAGGGATGATTGTGTTGAATGCTGAACTGAAGTCTATGAACAGCATTCTGACGTATGAGTCTTTTTTGTCCAGGTGTGTGAGTGCTGAGTGGAGGGTAGTGGCGATGGCGTCATCGGTCGAGCGGTTGGACCGATATGCAAACTGGAAGGGGTCCAGGGAGGGGGGGAGGGCAGACTTGATATGGTGCATGACTAGCCGTCATGCACCATATCAAGGTTCCATTAAGAACCTTTAACATCCATGGAATATTTCCATTCCACAAAAGGTTCTTAGGGGAACCCAAAATTGTTTGTCTATGGCGTTACTATGGCGTTACTGCGGACCTTATTTTAAATCTTAAACCTTATTTTTGGAATCTTTATTTTTAAGAGTATGGATAGGAGCATATAAATACCTTAAATATAAATTGTTCATTGTTTTCTCTTTTGCCTGACAGGCTGTGCTGTATGCTGCATCCAAGAACTGGGGTATCAAAGTGGAACGGGTCGAGCTTAAAGATGTCAAACTGCCCACCACTTTGCAGAGAGCCATGGCAGCTGAGGCAGAGGCCACCAGAGATGCCAGAGCCAAGGTGGGTGGGGGACTGCTGAAAGGATTATTGGTGCCCCCCTGCCTACCCTCCAAGAACTGTATACATCCAGAGTGAGGAAAAGGGCTCAGAAAATCACTCTGGATCCATCACATCCAAGCCATCTCCTTTTTGAACTTTTGCCATCTGGTCGGCGTTACAGAGCACCGAATACCAGGACAGCCAGGCACAAGAACAGTTTCTTTCCCCAGGCAATCTGCCTCATGAACAGTTAATGTTCTCCCATTGTGCAATTAAAGTATGTGCAATAACCTTATACCTATTTATCACCCTAAACCCTAGTACATCCCTACAACTTATTTTATTTTATTCTATTCCTATTCCATCTATAGCACATCTGTACATACAATTTATTCTTTTTTTATGGTTTATATTTATGCGTGTGTATTTTATTCACATTTATTTTTATTATCTGTGTGTTGTTGTTGTCTCCATGTACTGGAAGCTTGTGACACTATAACAAACTCATAATCAGAATCAGAAAGAGCTTTATTGCCAAATATGTTTGCACATACCATCTCATTTTTATTATCTGTGTGTTGTTGTTGTCTCCGTGTACTGGAAGCTTGTGACACTATAACAAATTCCTTGTATGTGCAAACATACTTGGCAATAAAGCTCTTTCTGATTCTGATTTCTGAGCACTGAAAGATTGTCACATCCTTCACAGTCACACACACACACTCACACACTGTCTGCAGAGCCTGCCAAGTTTAGTCTTATCAGCTTTGCAGCTTTGTGTTCAGTCTGTCTGGGGAGACATGTGTTCTGATTGGTGGATTAACACCTGCAGCCCCTCACATACGGTCAGGGGTGTAAATGAACTGTAAACCCCCTTAAGCCAATCAATTTCAAAAACAAGACCTGCAGACCAGTAAAGCACCTGCAGGTCAAGACATTAGCTTTATGTTATTGCTATTTGTTATGACTGACCACTCACAATATAGTTAGATACCTCTTACAGATTCTGCAATATATTTTGTGACTGTAAATTTAGTTATTTCATCTTTGTGGATCTCTCTCTCTCTCTCTCTCTCTCTGTGTGTGTATATATATAGTTACATTGAATTAATTTAATTATACTTATATACAGTGGTGTAAAGCCATACTCAAGTAAAAGTACAGATATCTTACCAGAAAATTACTTTGGTAGAAGTTGAAGTCACCGTTTAGAATATTACTTGAGTAAAAGTCTTAAAGTATGTGATATTTATTGTACTTG